ACTTATGAGTACAAGAGCGGCAGATCACGTGTAGTGAGGCATTAATTCAATTTTGATGGACGACAGCGGATCAACGGACAACAGCAGACCAACGAACAACAGTGGATCAACGGAGGACAGCAGACCAACAAACAACAGTGGATCAACAGACAACGGCGGACCAACAAACGACAGTGGATCAACAGACAACTGCGGATCAATGGACAACAGTGGCTTCACAACAAAGAGAGGAAATGTGGCAAGTGAGATACTTTTTCAACAACAGGAAGAGTATATTTCTTTGAATCAACCGGAATACGGGAAAAGCGGGAATAAACCTAGAGAAAAAGATGCAGATGAGACAGTATTTGTTGAAGAATCACCATTTACTTGTGTGGAACACTATAGCCCAACATCAGAAGAATTATTCAAGGAGTTGCCAGGATTTACAACAGGACGGGAAGATTTTACGGTGCTTTTGGATTGGTCTGGAACTCGGTCTTATTTGGAGAACCCAAACATATGGTTAGAGGATCAACGTCTGTCAAATCAAGTGCAAGTTGCGTTTCATGAATGCAAATCATCAGGCAGGTATTACATAAGTGAAGATAAAAATTCAAGAGATGAAGAGAAAAATATGAAACTTTTGCCCAAATTGGTTGAAAAGATGAGGTATTTTTACGGTAAATTTGATTGGAAGCTATTCAATTATGTGATGGAGGAAGGGGAAATAAAACAAGGGCAGGAAATTCCAGACAATCCAGGATTGTTCTGCATTTCTTTAAATGATTCAGACTCTGAATGAGAGTTTGATTACCTTTCATGCTTTCCTCCTTGATGTAAAAATGTAGTAGTTTTTTTATTGGAATTAACTTAATATTTTTGTTGATAGTTGAGGGATTCTCCATAATTTTCTCAGATAGGCTTCTTTCATTTCATGATCTTTGAGTTGCTGATTTTCATTGAAGCCCAATACATAGAAATAATAAACAAAATCAAATAAATAAATAAAAATCAAACAACAGGAAGATATAGGGAATATACAAAGAAGGGGCCTTCAGGATGCCAGTAGTTCAGCAATTTGCTTGGTTCTTTCTCTTGTCTTTTTTTTGGTTTGGTGGCAGGCATGAAGTTCTTTTCTCTCTTCTCTTTTTATTTTCATGTGTTAGCTGTAGGACGTTGAGTGAATCAGGTTTACGGCAATCGGGGACAAGATGGCGGCTAGGTAGAACTTGAAAGGTTTGGGGGGGATTGAGCCAAGTTCGACATAAAGAGTACATCAAGTGACGATAGAAGCAACTAGGCAATAGATCGGCTCGTTGTTTGCGAAGATCGGCAAAGCCAATAGCAAGACGGTTTGGATAGGCAAAAGGGAACGGTGACGGTGATAAAGCTCCGGCAAGGTTGATAACGGCACAGCAATGGTAGCTGATAAGTTGTTGGTCTTAATTGACTTGTCGGCAACAGTCTTGAGGTGTTGAATTTTAGGCGGAAAGGCCAAGAAATGATATCTTTTACGGTTTGCTGAAAGGGCTCAAGTGCTCTAAGAACGGACTGAAGGAAGGCTAATGTGCTCCTTTCAGGGACGGTCAAAAAATAAT